AGCAGGAATTCAGACTGAAGCTTTGCAGGGAGTTTTCATTTACATCCCAAAGGTATTTAACTTGTCAGTGCTGTGCAGAGGGCACGCAGCCTCCCCTACACACCAGCAAGAAACACCTTCATCCATTCACCTCTGCCACTGAGGAAAGGAACCTCCTCCTTTGGAGAGCTCCAGGCTGTTACTGCTTAAAACGCAGCTCCCTTTAGGGCTGAAAAGAAAGGAAAAGGACTGAGGCCAGTCTGAAGGTGTGTTTCATAGTTACTGCAAGATGTGGCTAGGAAGGGGAGTAGATCAATAACTTACTGGCTGCCTTGAGAAGTACCTTCTGAGGTTTCTGGTCATTACAACGGGGTCTGTCAGAGTTACCACTTTTCCTGGCCTCTCTTGAACTGATTATCTTATGTTTGCCAGGCTCTTCTGGCTCCAAAGTCAAGGTCTTCATTAGCACAATACACACTAGATGCTTCAGCCTTTGGCCAACTGGCTGCTGTTCTTTCAGCATGAAATGTCTTTCAGAAAGAGGTGGGTGTTTTTCCTGTGGTGGATTTCCAGGGCATAAACCTGCTTCCTTTCCTTCTTGCACTGCAAATGTGGTCCCTTGGGACTGGCTTTGTGCAACCATTAGACGTGTGGGACACAGGTTCTGTGTGACTGTGGCAATGACTTGCATGAACAAGTCAATCCTCTTTGTGTGAACTGATTTCTTCTTGTGAATGTCAAATTCCTCCTCATTTTCGGTAGATGTGGGCTGGGTTCTGTGGGTGAAAAGCTACCTGGCCTAATGCTAAAGGAGCACCACTGAACCAGAGCAGAGCACCTTGTGTGTCAGAGTGCTCTGAAATGTTCTTTCACCTCAGTTTCAAGCCTCCCATTTATTTCCATGTAATTCAAATAGTGATGGAAGCTGCTGGTGGAGATATTCAGGAGCCGTCTTTGAAAGGCAGCTGGGAGGAAGGAAAGCCTTGCAGAGCAATGGGCTGAGGTTTACCCTCCTGCCCCCAGCAAAAGCCTTCAGCACACAGATGAATCTGATGTTTATTCCCTGGCTTAACTGATTGGAAAATCCTTCTTGATGAGTAAACTCATGAAATCCTAAGGGGAAGCTCATGGTGGGTCTTGAATGGAGCTGTTATCCTGGAGGCTGGTTTCCCCACGCTTGGTGTAGGATAGGGGCTGTGGATCCAAGAAGCATTTTCAGCTGAAAACTAGATACATTTC